TAGTGCTACGGTAAAAATATTTTTTTTTCTTCACAAAGTTTATACAATCTTTGCTATTGAACAGCAGTCCAAAGATTTTCTGGTAGATCAAGCAAATCATCTCACCTCTCTTGCAGAAGGCAAATTTTATTTTAGGTAACGTTATCAATAAGAACACCATGTCATCAACTGAATATGTTTTTTTAATTCCCCTATATTCATCTTGGGAATAAATATGATAATTTATTATAGACTTTCATTTTTAGTGAACTTTTGACCTAAGACATTATTTTATTTATTTAAATTTGTCATAGCTGCCCAGCAATGAAATCAACAGGTATTATTTTTACTAGGTATAAGTACTGACTTTACAGCGTTAGAGACTAATTTGGTTCTGCACCTAATAACGGCAGCAAGACTGTTGGGGGCGCAATACTGGAAGAAGGAAGACTTGCCTACAACTCAAGAATGGACATTGAAAGTCACAAACCTAGCCGAGATGGCGAAAATATCGGCATATCTTAAAGACCATTCAAATGAGAGATATAAACGAGACTGGAAAAAAAATGGATTGACTATATACATTGATGGAGTAACCACAACTTCTAGTGGCAAGGAGTTCCATAGGTTAATCCTTCTCAGTGTTAGGAAATTCCTCCTTAGTTCTAAGTGGCTTGTCTCCTTGTTGCTTCCTGTCCTGTCTTCAAGGTGCTTTGGAGCAGGGGGGGGGGTCTCCAAATCTTGGCAACTTTAGGACTGGTGGACTTCCTGGCTGAGGAACTCTGGGAGTTGAAGTCCACCAGTCTTAAAAGTCGCCGAGGTTGGAGACCCCCCCCCCTGCTTTGGCGAGAATAGGCTTCAATAGAACAAAAATAATTTGATTTCTTCCAAAAAATCAGACCACATTCTGAATACAGTGAAGGATTGCATATCACATTAAACCTGGATTTATTTAACTCTTTCATCTAGGGAGAGTGTCAATCCTCCAGATCATGGTTTGTCCCCAAGATGCGACTTTCTTGGGGGGGGGGTTTCCCCTCAAAAACATTTTGTTCCTCCTTTAAGAAGCTTCTCAGAACCGAACAGGACAAGAAGCCACAGATGGAAACTCATCAAGGAGAGAAGCAACGTAGAACTAAGGAGGAATTGTTTTGACAGTTAGAACAATTCACCAGGGGAACTGCTTGCCACCAGAAGTTGTGGGTGCTCCAACGCTGGAAGTGTTTAAGAGATTGGACGACCATTTGTCAGAAATGGTAGAGGGCTTGGGGGTTGGACTAGAAGACCTCCAAGGTCCCTTCCAACTCTTGCTATTCTGCTAAGAACTAAAGCAGCTTATTGGATGACAAGCTAAATGTTTTCAACCACATAAGCCACAAAGTTCACAAGTGCCTTTTTTGGGGAAAAAAGCATCTTTGGGGTTAACTGTGTCTTATAACTCAGCCGAGTTGCCCGCAACAAGCATTACAATGATCTACAAGCAAGCAAAGCATGTTACGGTTTAACCTAATGCAGGAAATCTACCGCATTTGAGAGTTGGAAGGTGTTCCTGGAGGTCATCTAGCCCAACCCCCTGATCCTTCCAGAAATCCTCATCAAAGCATCCTCCTCCTCTAACAAATCCAGGAAGGAGAACCCACCAACACACGAGGCCAGGGGGGTCTCCAAATTTGAAACTTTGAGACTGGTGGACTTTAACTCCCAGAATTCCCCAGCCAGCATAGCTGGCTGGGGAATTCTGGGAGTTGTAGTCCACCAGTCTCAAAGTTTCAAATTTGGGGAACTCCCTACACTAGGCGATTGGTTGATTCCAACCCAGGCTATGATGCAAGCTAGCTAGCTCACCCTTCAAACGTTTCCAGGCTCCAGGCGACCCCGAGCAAAACTCCAAAGCACAGGATGAGCTTCATGGTGGGAAAAATCCAGAAACAGGATCCCGGAGTGAGCTGTATTTATGGGACCCGATCCCCTACTTATCTACTCTTAGGTTACGTCCTAAAAGAGTTCCATCTGCCACAATTCCCAGGGACGAACAAACAAACTCCCTTGCAAGAGCCGGCCAACCACAACAGGAATGCGATAATAATGTCAGGGGAGAGGAATTGTTTGATTAGTAACGTAGGTGTAGCTACACACCCCATTCTCGAGTGGCCCAAGGCGAGTTTGACAAGGGTGGATGTGTGACTCAGGAATCTATTGTTTTTCTCCTCCTTGGGGGACAAAAAAAATAAATCACAATTTTAAGGGTGGTTTGGCTTATAGGATCCACCTAACCTCCCAATAAAGTGATAGAAAGCCGAGCCGCCTTCCTTCTCGTCTTCTTTCAACGTGGGAATTTTTCTCTTCCCTTCTTCCTCCTCAATGTTCCCTCTAATTTTTTTTTCAGTGTGAGCGGAAAAGTACAGTGTTTGAGCTGCACGGTTTCATGCCTGAGCACCTAAGAGAGCCACAGTTTGAATTGCTGCCACGTCTGCTGGACATTTGCGCAACCTTCCAAGCGTCAAGCGCCGATTGCGAGCGAGGTTTCAGCCCGAGGAATGCCAGGCATGAAAATGTGCCACTCAAAC